TCGCCAGTCACTGTTCCGCTTTGTTTTGCGATTTTTTTTTACTTTATCTTCATTTCAAGGTTCCACCGCGATGGCTCTGTCACGTCCTTAATTTTCGTTGGCTCCCGTCGAATCGATTCAACTTTTTGCATGCATAATTCTGACGAGTTCGTCTATAATCCGCTATTCACATTTATTTCAAAGCGGCGGAAGTGCGGTCTGACTCACAGAGTATATTTCCTCGGTATCTCCGGCACCTCGGACGCATTCCGCGCGTTTCGCGAACGTATGTCGTTTTTACGACACGTCGAATGTCTCTGAAAGAAACTGAGGAGGAATCGCGTCGATCGCGTGGAATGATAATCGCAGCCTATTCTTCGCGAGTTTCGGCGCGCGGCGGCGTCTCTCTCTCTCTCTCTCTCTCTCTCTCTCTTGTGTCGCTCCTTTTTCCATTCCTCCTCCCCTCCTCCCCCTTCTCCCTCTCTTCTCCTCCTCCTCCTCCTCCTCCTCCTCTTTCTCGTAAAGCATGCAACGCCGTTGTCTCGGCGCGGCGCGCTGCCGGCCCCGAAAGAACTGGTTCTCCCTCTGGGAGAAGGGTGGTTAAACCCGGTGCAATGCGTGCATTTAGTGAAACATCGCGCTGGAATGCAAACACACGTAGTGGTAGAGGCAGGGCAGGGTGAGTAGGTGCCTGGCGTGCATGTGGAGGCTGTCCGACAGGCGGGGAAGGGAGAGGCAGAGAGAAGAGAACCGCGCGCGCCGGAATTTGTACGAATTCCTCACCGCCCCCGGCGGCAGGATGTATTTTATATACGACGTGGCGTGATGCACCGGCCGACCTATGGGAATCGCCTAGGATCTCCTGATTGGAATGCCACTGTTGCACGAGACAGTGCAACGTACGACGTATCTCTGAAACCGAATTTCTGACGTTCCACCTGTACGACAACCTGTTCCTTCCTATCTCGCGTACAGACGCCTTCGTTACTTTAAGCTAATGATAGGGATTATTTCGATTGAAAATTATTTAAATTATTTAAATTATTATTGAAAATTATTATTTCATTTATTTTTCTTTATTAATTATTATTTGTTAATTCTTCTTTCAATTTGTATCTACAAATTCAGAACAATTGTTTACATCGCAAACCACGTGCCATTGTTTTTGATGGATTTGCAACGCAGCTTAAAGCTACAGCCGAATTATTTCTCCTTTGGCAAATAGATAATTAAATTTGAAATCGATTACTTTCCACGAGAAATTCTTATTGCGAGAAATAGCATCTCAGCCATCAAACCTGGGTCTCATCTATCTTTTCATTCAATTATTTTATGTATTAATTTTGTATACTTGTTAATAAATTTCATCGACGGCAAAGGAGGAAAAGTATCTTATATTGCTATCAAATAAATTTGCACGTATTTTTCCGTCTCATATCGATAATTTTACGCGGATTGATCTTCGCAAACAAGCGCTCGCCGATGAAGAAATTGATGGGCAGCATTGCAAATGGCGCACGTGATGCACTGCGTTTCGCTCTGATTCCAACTGGGTGAGAGATCTCGACACGATTTCGCCTAGTGGTTATCTTTAATGTTAAGCGAAAACCGCCCGGTTGCTATCGATTTGTTATTCCGGCAACGTGACGTACGGGACGAAAGTGAATTGATCGGCAGCAGAGTTACAAGGGACTTATTCAAACATTTTTCAAATCGCAAGATAAATTCGTCCTGATTAATTATGAAATTTGTGAACGTCTTTATATTTCATCGCTCACTTTATTTGAATAATTTTTTACGTCACGTATCGATTGCAGATTTTCCACAAAATCTCCGCACATAGAAGAAAAAAATCAAGACAAATATTGCCACATATAAGTGAGAATATTATATTTTCTTTAGAAAAATTTTACTCTCGATTTAATACTAATTTTTTTCTACGATATTTATATTAAATACTACGTTTATATTGTTTCAGTAAACTGCTGATGAAAAAAACGCGTGTCGCAAAACGTTATCGAAAGACAATGCCACGCGCTTCCTCTTCGTAGGAACGAAATAATTTTTGTATTGAGCGCAATGCATTCCTAATTCTAAATCGCTCTTTAAATTTCATGCGGCTGTTAGCGCTCCGCCTCTACGCGTCGCACGTGCGTCTTTCGATGACGTGCTGGATTTGTTAATGAAACGCAATCGTGGTGAACATAGAAGGAGAAAAGAGATCCCGAAATACAGATCGCGCGCGCGGCAGAATCGCCTCGAGCTGGTTTCACTGCCAAGGTGGATCCTTGCGACTTCAATGCTAGAAAGGCGATGTCGGATCGAAATGCTTTCTCCGCTGGCACGAAATTTTCAGTAACAAAGGGACCTTCCGGAGCATTTTTAATTTGTAAATAATAAATAAATAAATAATTGCGAATAACGGATAGAAAGTGAACACCAATGGCTCCTATTTCTATTTTTTATATTATATATCAGTAGTATTCTATGTTCAATGGAAGCATTACAAACTAAGATTGTATGCGTTATATTTTAATTTGAATCTCAATATTTTTTGTGAAATCGTGTAATCTTATAGATCAAAGTATTATTCGTTACAAGGTACGACTTATAAATGTGTAGATTTATTAGGTATATGATTATCAATGTCAAACGTGATATCATCGGCATACGCGAGATAATTCGCGATTTTGAATAAGTAATAAATACAGTAATGAATCGCAAGAAAAAAATGTAATTTCCATAATTATATGATTGCGGAGATATCTACTAGAAATGAGAATATATTGTAGAGAAACGAATAAGAGTGCGTGAAGAGTAAGAGAAAATATGAAAAATTTGCAAAATCACATCCTTCACGATTGTTCTCTCTCTTCCTTAACTAATAAATAAAATTCGAATAATTTTGCGACTATAAAAATTTTGGAAAAAACCAACTAACAAGAAATACAATAAGAAAAGATGACCAAGATAAATTTGAATACATTTTTATGCAAGGTTCAATTTTCGAGACAGCTTTCAAGAATTCTAATATTCGAGACGAATCGAACAGTTGCGTCATGTCGATCATGGATCCAAATGCCCTCAATTTTGAATGGATCTTTTATGATTTAATATTGCGTGGCCCTTGTCGCGATTAAGGTCTTTAGAGTCGTAAAAGTGATGATGATTCGCAGCATATTAATTCCGTGTTTTATATGTACATGGTGTGTACTGTCACGTATTGTTTGTAGCGTTTATTAGCGTAATGTTTAGTCACAGACAGTGACTGATTAAAGGCAAGCGGTTTGAAAAGTATTGTTCAAGGCGATATGTACAGACATTGAAATTATATAATCATACAGAAGGTTACTTTAAGGTGAGAAGTTGTAGAAAAATATTATAGAACTACACAATATATTTCTTTTGAATTACAGAATTACATTAATTAGATTGTACGCAAAAATATATTGTTTAAAATTTATATTGAATTATAATTATATTGAATTTTGTTTGATTCTTATTGTATGAATTATTTAGCACATTATGAATTTGCAATAATTGTACGATAAAAAAATTAAGAAAATTAAATATGTTAAAAAATTTTGGACTTAGCTTATTATAACTTAGATCAATCTATGTTTTAAATGATTCAATTTAAAGTTTAATAATACATAAATAAAAAAATGAAAAAGTTGCAACAAGTGTGAAAAGTTATTTAGTTAATTGTCCAATTAAAAAAAAAATCGAGATTTTAAATGTAAGTAATTTTTCAGATATCTTGAAATATACCTAATTAAGAGGAACTATAATTTATAAATAAATATTTATATAAATTTATAAATAAATATTCTGATATACTTGTCATCGAGTGAAAAAGAAAAAGATTTTCCGGAATTCTCCGAAGCGCTCGAACGAAGAACGGCGCATCCTGTGTTACATAATGCATTAATCTCCATACGTGAGTCCCTGTAATCGCTCAATTACGTAAGTAATTTTCGTCGAGACGATCAATCGACGACGCATCAAATTTCTGTCATTACATACCTACGACCGATGCATATTCAAGTGGTTCGTACGACGATGAGTAGTATTGTCGATTTACAGCCGCGTTTAGAAATAAATATCGATCGTTCTATCATCTGGCTTTCTATTTTAAGACGCTACACTTCGATCGGCTATCAGAATCTATATCAAGAGCGCCAATTAGAATGCAAATGATTGCTCGTAACTTTCTGTTACGTGATAACGAGCGCTGTCAAGATCGCGATTAAGACTTTCAAAGTTCATCAGAACGAAGTTAAAAAGAAAGCAAATATACATAATTATTTCGTTCAACAAAATTATTTTTAAATGTACGTTTGTCAAATTTTTAGTTTTTTACCTTTTAGTCTTTTAGTTTTACTTATTTTGTTGTTAGTATAAAATCTTTTTTTATATATATATATTTCCTAAAGTTTTACATTTTAATCGCTTTGAATATTACTTTTTTCACTCAATTATACTCAATTATGTATATGTACATGGAAGTTTGCATTATTTTTTAAAAATTAATGTGGGATCATAATAAATTGGAAAATTCTAAATGGTTAATTTAACAGAAAATAAAAACAGCTCATGTATATGAAGCAAAAATCAACAAGATAAGGCCAATGAAACGAATAAAACAAGTATTAGTGATATAAGAAAAATATTCATTAAAAACAGATCAAAATAATATATCAACAGACAAATAAAATTTAAAAACTTGAATGTTTCGGCTACATTAATGCCCGATTCCACCAACGTAGATTAACTTTAATCTCGGTTCAATTTACTCTTCATCTTTAAGAATTAGAAAAAGACGAAGAGTAAGTTAAATCGAGAGTAAAGCAAATCTATGTTGGTTGGAATCGGGCATAAGCCTTCTTCAGCAAATTAAAAAGATTCTTATTTTCTTCAACTTTTTCTCAAACCAATTTCTTCAACCATACACTTAGTTTTCACTTAGTTAATGATCTTAATTCTAAATTATTAATAGAAAATTAGAGATCGTGGCTTACCGTGGCAAACGGCGCCGAGAGCCAGCAGAGTGATCCAGGCGATCATCATTTTGGAGAGCGGCCGGGATGTCATCCGTGGAAATGTCGGCGCATTTATCGTTGCGATTGTAATACAACCAGCCGTGGCGACGAGACGAAGGCGTCGTCCGCCGCGACGTTCGACGCCGGGCGTCGTGGCGCACGTGTACTGCCGCCGAGGCGTTTGCTCGCGTGCAATTTGTACCCGCGACGACGGCGCATGTAAGGACGACGTCCCTCTCTTTGCGAGATACGCGCACGTTTTCCACGACCGTCTGCCTTGGATCTTTATCCGGTTTCTGGAATCTGGGGAATCGTTGCTGGAATCGTTGATTGATCGTCGCTTGCCGCGATACTTCTGTTTCTTTCGACCGATCGATCGATCCCGCGGGATGAAGTGTCGGGATGTTGCAAAGAGTCTTTGGTGGTTGCACAGGCGGTATCGGCTGTATCAGATGGTTAACGTTAAGATCCATAAAGATATCTTCTCGGTGCAATATTGCTACAGTTGTTGTTTATTTATTTATATCCGCAAGGTACTTTGAAATTTTCAAACTTAATTTTAATAACGGATCTTTCGATTTGATACAAAATTCACTTTTACTTTGTGGGAGAAAATTTGAATGGAAAATTGGATAACTCGTCGTCGTTAATTTAATTTAATATTTGTAGGATTTTTAAGAGAAAAGAAGAAAGAATTATTGACTGTTTCGGTATATTTAAGAACTGCTCTTACAATTTCGTGTCATATTACGTCGCCGGTTCTCACACCTTTCCTAACGCTTTCGAGTCGATTCGACGCATCTCTCACGTGAAAAATCACTCGTATACATTGTGTTTATACTTTATGATACATATTTACCTACTAATTATCTACATATTTAATATTATAAGCACGACAAAGATTTTAAATTAAATTAATTATCTTTAATTAACTTCATCTTTTTATTATCTTTTTTATCTTGAATTATGATGTTAAAAACAAGAACATACGATGTTTGCACCTGAGATAGATTTGCAAAATATAAAGATTCTTTTATAATAAAAATTTTATTCATTCTATCTATATGATATTTATTATTATTATATAAACTCTAAACTCTATGTGAATAATTTTATATTGAATTATTTTATGATAGCGCTTAAAAATCGTTCCGTCGAAACAGACCTTTACTCGCGTGATCACGGCAATTTATAGAGCGATCGATGGAAAGAGGGTCAGTGCTGCACAATGAATGCTCTAATCCTTTGTATGCGAAATAAGATTAATTGTCCTAACTCTTTTACTTTTCTCTCGCCGGTTTGACTTTATTTTATCTCGCGAAAAAAAAACTCGAACTTTTTCTTGTCATAATGTAATGTTGTGAAAGGTCTTGTCATATTTTCTTTTGTCTTCTCATATAATATTTTATTTGGAATTATAAGTATTAATTATAAGTAGAACCAAAATATTTTTATTTTATAATAAAATCTATAAACTTTCAAAACAAGAATTAAATTGTAATTAAATTTATAAAATTTATTCACACATCAATCGATATTTTCTTACATTCGCTTTAACATTGTAAAACAAAAAAAAATTTCTTAATTAGAGAAAAATTAGTTTAACAATTATGAACTTTATTGAATTTTGCTTTATAGTTTGTTATCTTTTTTTTTTACTTTGTTCATAAAGGAGGATTCGTAATTATCTATTATCTATTTTGTTGGCGTTTAATTAAATTGAAATTTTTTAATTCATTAGTTTTCGGTTTGTGTTAGTAAAAAATATATTCGATATATCTACCGCGTTTGATAACGAGAGATTGGAACGCGAGGGTCAGTAGTAATTAATACGAACAAATCTACTCGAGCGTAAAGTAACACAGCTAATTACCAGGTTGCACTCCTAATTAGCATATAATGGAGAGTAAAGCGATCGTAAACAAGAAATCGTCTAAATATAACGTCAGTTTGCAGTAAAACTACACTTGCGCGTGTATTTCCTTGAACTTTCCATGGTTAACAAAATGTCAATTAAAGGCTGATTCATCGGATTATTGATATTTCGCGAGCGAGGGTGGAATATTAGTTTGCATAAAGATCGTGGGATTTCTTAAAATCGGTTGCTATTTCGAGCATTAATTTTCTATCAAGAAGATTTTAAACAATTCTAATTTAACTATTATATTTGAATTTTAGAATAATTTTATCAATAAAAGTTGCTGAGAAAATGATATTCACTTTTTATATCATATAAATTGTTACATGTTATTGAACAATAATATAATAAAATTATAGTAAATATAATTGTCTCCGAGTTTCTTATCTCTCTGTCTTCTTGCAAAATGAACCTTTCAAAATTAATAATTGGAACACAGCAATATGAGAAAAAAATCAACTATATGTCTAAGACAAGATTTTTTTTTATTAAACAAAAAGGAAATTAAATTAAATTTCTATTTGACAAGTTTTCTTTGTGAAGTCAAGTTCTCCGATAAGGCGCTCGTACTTTCTTATTCATCCTTCTGCATTCAAGTGATGATGGTTTGAGCCACGCGCATACATCTCGATCGCTCACGCATCTTTATTAACGTAATACTGTCACCATTATCGTGTGCGCATACGAATAGCGTGCATTAAACGCCGCACATCCGTGCGTTTTCCTCATTCTAATTAACGCAAAAATATCTCCTGCGTAAAGCACGCACATAATTTTCGATTAACGGATGCCACGATATATTTATGACATCATCACGCCTCATCATCTCATTAATTTATCAATATGATCAATATAATCAATTCCATTAAACTGTCATTTTGATATCCTGTACTTTCAACATATCACGATCCATTTCAAAATTATATCAAAATTATATTAATCAGTTAATTATGAAGATGTTTTTTTTTTAAATTATTAATTATTTTTCAAAAATTTTTTAAATTTAAAAATTTTAAAAATTTTATTTCTAAAGAATCTTTTTCAACGTATTTGTATAAAAATTGTTTGTTTCAAAATGTCTTTTATTTTCGAATAGTTCTTATGGCATTGTTTTATTCTTTATTTTGTTTCTCCTGTAGAAGGAAAATCATAAATTAATAACGTTGTGATTCTATTACATTTATATTGCAAAATATTGTCTTAAAAAATCTTATAAAATCTTTTAGCAAAAAAATTATTTTGCTAAAGAATCTTTTTCTCAAATTCTTTTATTTTATTTCAAATTCAGTTTAATCAATTGAATCGATCTGTATTTAAAAAATCGATATTCAAATATAACACAGCTTTGATGATTCTTATCATTACTTACAGGATTTTTTTTATTCTGGAAAGAATCTCCTTTTCCTCCTATTTTGAGCGATTAACAATAAGTAAAGATTCTTTTCTTCAAAAAGATTGAAATATTTGTGTTGTCAGGTAGCGAATATTGCTATTCGCACAATATCCGTAGCACCGAATGTTCAAACAGTAAAATCCAAATGTAGATCTCTTGATCCCCTCGATATTCGAATTATTCATTAATAAATAGTACCAGGCGCGACTTTACAATTTTAAATCTTAAACGAAAGAAAACGCGTCTGTCTCTCTCTTCCACCAAAACTCGCGTAATCTACTACCGAGTACACGTACTCGCGGGGCATCTGTCGTATCTGTCCGTAAAGTATCCGTACTGCGATTGCACGTAGAACGTAGATCTCGAGTAAAAATACACTTTGCCACGACTTTTTCTTACTCGGAATCGAGAGTCGATACTTCGATACTTAAATACACGAACGAGTGCAAAGTATTCGCGGGGGTCTGTGCCATACACCGATCGGCGGGGGGGGGGGGGGACGCGAGGTCTCTCGTCCGTTTTCCTCTTCCGATTGTCGTGAATTTATCCGGATACCGGTTCGTCGGACGGTTTTACGGTTTTGATTCCCTGGTATCGAGTACCGTGGGTATTCTCGCGGGGTGTCCGCCGCGCGCGGAGTGTCGCGTACTCGCGGAGTGGTGCACCGACTACAACTGTAGGCGGCTCGACGATGGTCGCCGTCGACCGCGCACCAGCACGACTCGGCCGGCCGCAAGTGGGGGTCCAACGTTACCGGGGGTACGTGCGTGTCGTGGGATCCCCTCGAGGGGAGGCCCCCCCCCTACCTATCTACTGACGGCGTCGACGGGGGCCCTACCGAGACTCGTCACCCGTGACTCCACCTCCCACCTGTCGGCCCCCACAGATAACCTCCGCCGAAGGGGATACCTCCTCGTGAAAGACGAGCCGCGATAAGGTGTATCCGCCCGGTGAAGAATTCCTAAGCGGAGCCGCGCCGCGCGGAATCGCTCACGGCCGCGCCGCGCCGCGCCGTGCTTCTCTCTTTAATTCATTAAATGGCTTTTACGCGGCACGACGCAGATCCTCGAGTTGGACTGCTTTAAGGATGTATTACACTTTTTTTTTTTATTTACAATGAAAAAATTATAAATTATTCTAGGTCGCACTTAAAATGTTGCGGCGATTTAGAACCTGGATCAAAAGTGGATTTAAATATAAAGTAGAAAAATGCTTTAGAAATGTAATTAAGAAATAATTATTTTTCAAATCTATATTTGATTAAATTTTTAGACACTTCAGCAGTCGTTCTGTCCGTATAGATATTTTATAGTCAATCATGATGATTTCTATATCCCGGACGTTCACGTTGATGAATTTCCGAGATTAAGCAAAGATTGACGAAACGATTTTTCTCAACCAGTTTCAAGAGGAAGGGATATTTAGATTGTTCTAATAGTCCGCAGCACGCACCCGGAAATGGATAACGTGCACATAGATCGGATCTTGCCTTCAACCATGCGAAAGGCTGTAGAAAAAAAAAAAAAATATATCGCGCATAATAGGATGCGTCGGAGATACGTCTCTCTCACGTATCTCTCGATCGAAACGAATAGCGTCGATACCGCATTGCTTACTGCGACGATAATGTTGATTCTCCCCCCGAGGCACGATGGACAATAACGTGCATTCGCCATCGCGGAACATCAATGTGGTAACGGAACTTTTATTACGACGCCGCGAGTTGCGGATCAAATAATAACGCATCTTGAAAGAAAATCCACGATACGCTCGAATCGTGCATTTAATCGTGTGATTTTTATCAACTTATAACGAACAAAAAAATTACTCACGGAAAGTATTTTTAGATGATCTACGCAATGATTCTGCGCCGTGATAGAAATGGAAGTTCTCGATACCGGAAAAAAAAAAAAAAAATACATTACGAGTGAGATAATCGGAAGAGTCATTAAATGTCGTTACTAAACCTACCATAAAGGATTTAAACAAATTATTACTCAACTGATTAGTCAGCTAAGAGAATTTCTTCTAATCGAATTGCACATCAGTCTTCTCTTCCTCCTACGTAGTAGATAATTGGGGCGCGATTGACGAACGCGCCGAATGTTTGATCGATCGTAATGGCAGGCCGCCCCTCCCGCGAATTTGGATGCGGCCATTTTTAGGGTCAAGTGTGGGACACTGTCAGCTGCGGATTTCTAATAAAAATTGTAGGAAAGAAGACGCGGACTTCAAGTAGATCGACTTGGACGGTCGCCAAGTTCGCACGGGATTCTTCGGCGTACAAGTTCAAGGCTCGCAGGGCGGAGGTACGGATACCTTCAAGGTCACCGAGTGTGCAAATACCGTGATATTATGGTCGCGCAAGTGCGGCGGCTTTCTCATTGTCGGCAGAGTTCGGTCGAGATCTGACATAAGTGCAAGGAGGGGCCCGTTCGGTGCTCTATAATCAATCGGCTTAATAGCGCACCGGCCGAGGGCCGGTGCATTTTCTCTCAAGTATCCTCCTTCCCTGCATCACTCGAGAAAGAGAAATTCCTTCGATCATCCGATCTCCGATCTGGCTGGAATTACTCAATGGGAATAACGGAATTAGTCACCGTGCGTGAATCACGGCGGCGCCCAAATTTTTTGTCACGGTCGCAGGTAAAAAAATACCTTCCGAGATGGAGGAACGGATTTTGAGAAGGATCTGGACCGTCGTTGAGAGTGGCTGTTCGTTGATCCATGAACAATCACGTTTTCCCCGCCCAGAAAATTTATAAAAAAAGTAATTGATATCATTATTTTAGAAAAAAATTGCCTTTTTCTAAATTGCGACATTTGCAGCACGAGCATTTTTGTCGATTATAAAACTATATTCAATTTATAAAAGAATATTTAAAAAAAGTATTCTATTAAAATATAAAAAAATGTAAATATTGGTTAAATGTTCCAGATAAAAAAATATATAATTATTATCTATTTTTAATTTTAATTTATACATTCGATAAATATGTTAGTAATAATAAATGGATAAATAAGTTAGTAATAAATGGAACGATGTTGCAGCCTGAAGGCTGAGAGTTAAATCGCCACAGCGGAAAAAAAAAATAAGCGTACTTAATCGTCCAGCGGATACGCGACCCGGAACATGAATATTTCTAATTCCACGTAATCGTTCGTCACGTGTATAAACAAGGAAGGTGTAATCACGATATGTCGTATTATGTCGCATTAGTAATAACGTAACTATTTTGTGCCTCTAGTTTGTTATTCAGATTGTTTTACTCCGAGTGAAATGAAAGACTGCACGTTGCATTGATGGAACATCGTACAATGGCCGTGATAAAATAGCCGGGAATATCGATCGGTATGCTGGTAATTATGCGGGCCAAATCCTTTGCAATAGTACCATCGTGTACCATTTTAACTCGCCATTTCACGATTTGCCGTACAAATTAGCATCCGACAAACATTGACAGACCGAATTATCGCAAATTAAGTCCCTGAATGCGATACGACTCTTTAGCACGTCTACTCGTAAATCTGCATTTTATTTGTTATAATTCTATTAAATTACATATTAATAACGTTGGCAGTTAAAATAACTATATTATTTGTGTTTGTATGTACTTGTGTTAAGTATTAGCCTTTTTAAATTTTACAAAGACAATAGGTCTTTAATATTTAACTACAAATACGTATATACTGATATAATATATTGATAATTGAAATTATATATTATATTTATATAATTATATAATATATTATATAGTATATTTATATAATTTATTTGAAAGTTTAAATTATTATAGTTAGTAATAATTTAACTAATATATTTTTAGTTTTAGTAAATCTTAAATTTCTGGCGAGTTAAGAAATCTTCTTTAAAATTAAAGAAGATAGATGTATTTTAAATAATGATTGTATGTGGAAGAAATAAAATTTTTTAAATAAATTTTTATATTTTTGCTTCAATCAGTATTTTAATTATGGTGATAAGATTTGAATTTTTAATGAACGTATAATAATCATATTATACATTACGTATTTTAAAAATAGTATTTAGTTTAATTATTTTTTATATTTTTCTGTAGGCATAATTTTTTATTTTTGTGATTTCGTATAATGAAATTTAATAAATCTTTGTATTTGAATAATCATTATCTTATCTTTCTCATAAAATCTCAAAATTTTTATATCTTTCGTCATATTCATAAATGATATCATGATGATAATCATTTCCGACACGTGCACAATTGAAACGTGTAAAAATTAATTTGACACGCGGTTATCTCCACTTTTTTCCAACTATTCGAAAGCGGACAACGTAAATATTATCGCGATCTCGAAGCCGCAGTGATTACATTCATAATTTTTACAGTTCGACACACGTTGGTACACGTTTGATTCGCTTCCTTCATCGAATTAACGAAACGCAAGTGGAAGCGCAAATATAAAAAAAAAGAAAAAAGAACTTGAGTTGCAATCCGACATGAGTAATAATTATTTGTCATCTCTTGTCTGAGAATTAACGCCGGGCGAGAATGTTCACGCATATAAAACTGTTGATTCCACGCAAAATTATATTTCTTTATAATGTGCGATAATGACACATTATTAAACGGTGAGTCGGAGCGCGGCTTCCTCTGAGCATCGCGAGTGTTTCATCGCTACTTATACAAAAGTGATTAATACTGTCGCTATAACGTGAGAGCAAATATTATCACAGTCACTCTGTCTTCTGCCCTTCTCGAGACAATCGCGTCGTGACGATGTATTTCGCGGCAAACGGAGCAAACGGAGAGTCGCGAGCGCGATTTCTTAGATCTCCTCTAGAGAGAGAGATCTCAATTTAAAATCTTTCTCGCGACATTTTCATGACCGTTATGTTATCACCGTCGGTAACGATAACGCCAGTAATTAAGCGCCAATCAAGTATTTCCGGGAGAGTTGCGTAATCGCTCGCTATGCAACCATGCGAGAAACGCACGATGTTCCGGGGGGAGGTTGACGTCGGGGAATCACTCGGCACCGACATTCGAGGCTCAATTAAAATAATCCTTAATATCATCTTTCGCTTTGTCATAATTGGCAAATTACAGAGGTGCCGCATCTGTGAGCGGCGTTCACAGTCATCTCGCCTGTTGGAATATGCACAGTAAATTCGTCTCGCCATAATGACCGGCGCGCGAGTTGTCTCCGTTTAATTCCGCGGTTGCGTAACGTACGTAAAAAAAAAAGAAAAAATACACATCAGGAACGTCAGGAACATGAGAACTTTATGATCTCGGGGATTTAATTCTGTCCTTCCGTCCGAGAAACAACTTTTGTGACCGACTCAGGCGGATTAGAAACTAATGCTGTCGTTGCTCATGCGCAAAATTATGTCAATCAATATTTTTACAGGAGCTCGTGATTTATTGCTAAACTATACAAGGATGTTGTAATTAAAAATCGTAAGATTTTTTTTAAAGATTGATCATTCTGTGTAGAAGGTGATATGTAACATGTGCGGAAAATTACGCGATCTGATAATGAAAAACTATAT